GGTTTATTGCCTTCGTGCCTGGTGAATTATTGTAACGTACGGTGCCCTGCTCTGACGACATTTCTTACATGACGGGAGAAATCTCAGATTACCCTCAGCTAACTGATAAAGAGTTTGATCAAACGAACTACAATGCAGGTTTTGCAAGCTATATTTGAGTAAAGGGTCCTTTCATCAGCCAAATTTACTGCTGAAGAACGTGAAATCTGGTGGCTTCACGAGAATAAACATAAAGATGGTATTCTGGCAAATGACCTTGCACCCAGGCGAATTATTGGGGAACACAGGAACACTGAATTCCATTAAATGAGAGGAGCTCAATATATCTTTAAACATCTCTTGTAGCGAACCGAAGTGAGCCGATTCCTTTTGTGAGACTTTCGATAGGATCATTAATGTCGCTTTCATAAGTAAAGCTTGAGACATAGAATATCAATTCAAGTCTGAAATTTCTTTGCCTCTCAAAATATACGCCATAAAAACAATAGAAGGGATCAGGTAAAAGTGTAGACCCCCTAGGGTTGCACGGTAGTCAATCCACTGTATACTAGCTTCCAAATGCGCTTCATAAATTTACCACTTATATGCAGTCACATTCTTCACAAACAAGATGCTATAATGGGAAAATAATGGTTAGATCAGCAGGATCCTGTGATTCTTACAAATTCTGCCAAAGTGTAAGCAAAATATATGTTAACTATAGCTCAACTTTTGTCTCCATAAATGTGTGGAAGTAATCACAGCTTTTGCAAATTCCAATTTCGTTCATATGCCCATAATATATTTTGGTCTCTCTAATAAGTACTACAAACTTGGGAAGATAGGAAAAGCGTTAGGTGCACTCATATTCAAGGTAGATAACTTTCGCAATAAAATTATCTATACACTTTAAGCTAGAAATCGAAGCTTAGGACTCATTCTTGTGTCACTTGAGTATTTTCAATAATTTTATATTTATCATATGTGAAGATTTTTATCAACTACAGCGACTATGTATAAATCAACAAATACCCGGTTATTATTCTTACATACTTTATATCAGATTTATTGATGAAAATTAGATTTTGCTGTGACTATATTCTTTTATACAATTGCCCTTAGGAAGGTATCATAATTACTTACATCTTTCGCAATCAGCAAAGGCAATATTTAAATAACCAAATCCTTTCTGATACTTGAAGACGCCTTTTAAATTATTTTAACCTCGTTTTCATATTTAACAGAAGATTACTCAATTCAGAAAGGGTGCTATTTAATTTAGATGTAAATGCAGAAAGTATGAGATTCTGCATGCACCCGCTAACATCTTCACCCTTTTATAAAAAGATTTATTCGAACCTCGACTCGTCTCTATTCTATTAGTTTGAAAGGCGAGTTCTTTATTCTCTGCATCCGTTGAAGGAAACAAAGTCATGTCGAATAAGCTTCCTTTTTGTTGGGTTGAGTGATGTTCTGCAAAAAATGTAATCTTAAAAATTCAAAAATATATTCCAAGGACAGATTATCAAAGCATTGTAGAAACGATATGGTAGGAAACTCAGTAGACCTGAAATTAGTTACACATCAAATTACGACTTTCAACTATAACCTGACGGAAATTATTATTCTTTCTGAACTAAGAACAAAAGCTGAGCATAGAATATTGAAAGAACCAAAATCTATCTTCAAATGCAATTTAGGTCCAAACCCCCTTGGTTATGGAATTGAAAGATAGATAAAAAAACGAATTTATTTAAGCAAATAAGGCAATAATAGGGGGATTTATTTAGCTAGGTTTACATGCAATTATTATATAGAATAATTATGTGGCCAAAGTTAACACAATGATTCAAAAGGAAAGTTTGTAGTAAGTTTTCAGAATAAGTCACTTACTTCTTTTTCAGATCATTATTATGAGAAAACTTTCTTTTTCCTCTTCGATATCCAGTTGTATTGCCACAAGAGAGGAAATCTCTTCCACCATACTCTATTCGAGAAGCCAGAAATGCATGGGAGGATAATGTTGGTGAAGATGTAGATGAAGACGAAGATGAGACGATGCCGGCTAAGAAGGAAGGATGATGATCTAAAGAGTCCACTGTCGATGTCAACGGGCTATCCGCAAAAGATTGCTCAGCAGGACTGCGCCTTGCAGAGGATTCAGAAGAAGGAGAGGGGAATGAACAGGAGGAGCAGGAGGAGCAGGAGGAGCTAGAAAGGCATGAGATTGTGGAGTATGATCTATATTTTGTTAAGGGTGTTTTAGGGGTTCTGTATATTGGTTTTATGCAGTTGTTCTTCAGTTCATGAGTCTGCAATATATCACGGCTGTCAAGTTGGGTAGTCGAAATTTTTACCTCCGATGGAGGCGCGAAGCAATCCATAGGGTACAGCATTGCATTGGGTCTGTGGGAAGTAAGGCTCTTTCCACAAGATTTCAAGCATGTTGCAGTATTTAAACTCAGTTTTTGAGGTAAAACATGACCTGGGGTTAGTCTTCTTGGCTTGGTCTCTACTTCCATAATCCAACTATCACGAGTACTATAGGAAGTCTGAAAAGGAGATGGAACTAAGAAGTCCGTATTCGAGTTTACACTTAATTGAGCCGCAGTTTGCGCGAATTTAGTTACTTCATTACTTAGGCATGGCTGACATTTCCAGTTTGACCGGCTAGAGGCATTTAATGATGGAAAAATCTTTGTCCCCGAACTGAATCTGAACCGACCAAGTCGGCTGATAACACTTGCAGTTTTCGGACGAGAGTCAAATGATTTGTTGATTAAACTGCTTGGATAGGAAGTAGGGATAACGGCCAAACATTGCGGATTTGTGATGTCTTGCGAGAAGGCTTGACAGAACGGTGGGATTTGGGGGGGTTCTAGAATCCAGGTATTTGACTTGGCTGAGCCTGGTTCCACATTACAATCTCCATCCAGGTATTTTTTAGCAGACTTACGGCAAGTAGAAGAATAGAGCAAAAACCCGGCTATTTGGGACTTGAGCCAGCGCCTGACTACTAAAATACGAGGCCAAAGGGTGGCTGAAAATACAGCTAGAAATAGAAGACAGCCGAGTGTAAGCCGGCTGATGCAGAAGGCCTGGAAGAGGAAGGATGTGAAAGGGTGTGTGGATGTGATTTGGGCGAAATATTAGGTCCATTAAAAAAGGAATAGCACCTGATAATAAAAGTTACAAATAATTTGTTATAAGCAAGACTTAAAAGTAGTGCAGAGCATGATAATGTGAAACTCCTCGAAAAGTAAAATAATATTGTGAATCCACGATATCCATAAGCCACGAGTAAAGCTTCAGAGAATTTTGATGTTGAAACGCTTGCAAATTTATATTCAACTGAAGGGTCTCTTGTATCTGAAATATAATCGGAAAAAGCAACCCATAATTCCAAACTTAAAGCAGCTCATTTACCAGGTGATTGCCTGAGAGTGGTTTATAATCTTTTTTTCGCTCAAAATCATCAACGATGTGAAAATGTCCCTTTTCAGCTATACCTATAGTTGAAATGCATTCACTCTATTTCGTCTAAGGTAACGGATAACTACCAATTGAATTTTATCATAATTATATGAGTTAGACTCGCATTTCCATTTAATCATCCTTCATCTTGCTTCTCAAAAGGTATTCTTATCAAGGCTGGACTGCAGCTTCGAACTCACCCGGGTCTCATCAGCACCCGTCAGCGGGACTTGAACTCAGGTTGTTCTATTTAGCGTATAGTCCCGACACGTTAACACCTATGCCACACTGCCCCAAGGGAGAATACTTCTTATATATTTGGTTTATGATAGTCTTAAAAGCCTACTTATAAACGAAAATAAGTAATGTAATGATTGCTATAGTACGTATAAATTTGCTTTATCTAAAATCCCACCACAGAAACAGATATGGGAAAACCCTGGCCTTCCTTTAAATTTACGACTTTCCTGTGACCCAAGTACGCTTGTGACGGTGTCGAAACTATACGCTAAATACAACAGCCTGGGTTCGAGTCCAGTTGGAAGTGCTGATGAGGCCTAGGTAAAAATCAAGATTTCAAATCATTCCAGAGAAGCAAGGCTATATAAAAAAGTAAGGCATACTTATAGCATTGTGGAAGACCTCAACTAGCAGTCCTAAATTGCCTATTTTCCATCTTCCAGTTTCCATTTAATTAATTTCTTCTAAAAGAGGATGTCCACGGCTTTCCTGATCTTGTACTCTTACCATATGAGACTATTATTTCCGTTGCATTGCATTCATTGGTGTGACCTGTAAATGTATTTGACTATCTCCGATCACTCTGTGGCTATGATTATACAGATCTTGTGGATTCATTTAATCTTTGGGTTAAGTGTCCACCCAAATCTGGAAATTATCATGCATATTATGGACTCCGGAGAAGGTGCGTTCCTCTAGGTCTTCCTGCCAATATGACCAAGTTTCAAAAACAGGCTCAAACAACTTCTATATAAAGAAAGGAGACCGTGACGATATAAAAGGCCACACCATCTTGGTCTTCATATCTGTGATTAACTGGCTAAGATTTAGGATCTATATTTAACTAAGTACGAGGCTACCTGTAATTATTTAAGCAAGAGCTTAGTCATCCTATGTCACTAAAGATGCTGTGAGAACTTATACTTAAATTTTCCCATTAAGTTTTTATTAAAGCATTCCAAATAATCTTGAAAACTACTTATATCAAAATTAAGTAGCGTCATCAATTAAATGACAACATTTTTCGTTTATAGGTAGGGTGTCTCGACTACCAGTAAATCATATATATGATATATATTCCCTGTCCTGGTTGCAACTGGCACACTTAAGTATGTAGTAGATTGGGGTAGTAACATATGCACGGCACTCACAATCCGGTATCGAATCAGATTGGGGCTATTAAGTAGATCTAGGCGAGGTCAAACCTGGAATCTACTCTAGATTCAATGGAATCATAAGGCTTATTAGTTTCATTTTGGTAAAACGCAACTTTCAATCCTTAAATCGACTTAAAAGACATCAGGTAATTAGGCACGTATTCAAAAATGCATATAGCTATTTGGAATAGAAATTTGCATTCAATAAAAAAATCTAAAGTTGACTATCAAATCGAACTAATGTAGATAGTAGCCAAAAATCTAAATGGTATATTTAAATTTTTAATTCTCAGGAGACCGTGGAAATTTAAAAGCTTCTACTGCTTTTATGTAGGTCGGATAGTTATTCTACCCATGGTTAAGTAAAGAGTGGTTTTAATTCTTCCATAAAATGCCATTTCATCAATTATCAAATAGGTCGTTCTGATCCCTCGTACAATGAAATTTAGATCTGGTTTTGGGCTTAACAAATTCAATTAAAATAGCTGAGAAGCAGTCTATTCCTTAAAATTCATGCTTTTCGCGATCACATGACAGATGGGGTAGCGTGTTCGCTTCTTAATCTGCACTTCCACGGTTAGAATCTCGCTGGATATGCTGATGACATTTAAGAGAGGTCAAGCTTATAGTCCCCTCAAAGAGATACTAGATTTTGGGGATATAATAAAAAAATACAAAAAATAATTAGGATTTCTCTTTAATTACTCCTATATAGAGTCGCTATAGCTCATATATATTGGACGCCTAAATTGGTGCATATCTACCAGCATCCTCATAGCTTTGAAGCAAATTTAATTTAATTTAATTTCACAGCAAATGCGAATGAAAATGAAAAAGTAGGCCATTGGAAGTAGGCCTTGTTACCAAAGTGGATTTAAAAAGCATACACGAGTTATAATGTATTGCTAAGGCTGGCAAGGCTCACTGGTGGTGCAAACTACGATGCCGGCAGAATGTTTGTTAATGTGCTAAGTCCACGGTGCGACGATAGAAGTCAACATGAATAGTATGGAAGAGGGAACCGAAAAACGTGCGTACATCTAGGCCGCCATGACAATGCAACCAAGTTGCGAAAACGAGGTTAAACGACTCCTTAAATGTATAGAGTTGGCAAGTGAGTGGTATATAATGATTAAAGAAGATCAGATTATCAACGTATCTTTAAGACGAGTGTTATTTTGCCTTCTAGGATACCAATAATCTATAGCCAAGTTAGAAGCAACATGATGAAATATCATTATAATCTAATGTTATTTCATTTTATTTTCATTGTTGAAAGGAAAATATTGTATTATTAAATATTTATGTAAAAGCAAAAGAGTAGACCTCGTTGATTCAGAGAAGCTAAGAAATACACACTAGATGCAGAAACTGATTACTTTGCTATGGTTTATATCGCAAATATCTGCTCAAATTTCATCAGATAGATTGAGTTCAGTTGGTCTAGGCTTTAGAACAAATGCATTTTGTCTACAGCTCTTATTGCAATTCCATTCGGGCTTGCGTTCTTACAGGCATCCGACCATAAACGTAACTAGGTCATTTAGGCATTTTGGCAAGTGGGTAAACATAATTCGCATGCCAAGTGAGCCCTAGTGAATTATGCAGTGCACATTGATTTCCTTTTCCCTCTCTGTGCATGCGTGTTGATACTTTTCTGTCCTCGAAGTCACTAACTGCGGGCATTTGTGACAGCATCAAAGAGATAAATGGCTAGCTACTACATACTTGATTTTCTTGGGCAAGGAACCAGCTGTTCGAGGCTTCTTCGACTATTTGTTTAGGGACGAAGTGAAAATAAAGAAAGGGAAGAAATGAGCATAAAATTAATGGCTTAAAGATGGTTTTAATGACTGCTTTAGGCATCCTTCTGATAATCACTTAGGCAGAAGCAATTAACCCCAGGCTCATAATATAGACATTCTGACACACGTGAGGTTGCCATCGTGCCCAATCCACTCAGGCTATGTGAACCAAGCTGTATGAGTTCTCGGCCATAATACACCTAGTTTTTAAAATTGTAATTACTCACCAACTTGGTAGAGAGAATGCAACTGCGAATCACAATAGAAATTCTAATGAGAGCCTGTGGCATCAACTTCAACAGTTATTTAGGTGACTTATAATAGTCCTAACTAATTATAAACAATGATAATTTCTTAGACACAGGCTGTGATTCGATTAATACCATAGTGATTTATAATGACTCATCCATTCATTTCAAAGGAAAGTTAGTTGAAAAGTATTCGTGAGTTGGCCTCGCTGGAAATCTAGGATGGATTGTCTTGGAATGAAGATTCTTTGAGTGTGTGAAGTGGCCCTCAACGACCCTGATGAACCAGTGCTAAACCTTAGTCTGTCGTGTCACATACATCGTGTGACAGACAGTAACCATACTTTAAGGAAACAGCGCGCCACTATAGTAAAACAAAAGAATAGATGACCGGCTGGAAATCTACTCAATTATTATATCTGATCTTGCAATCTTAATGAGGTATTTCATGATTTGGTTGACTACTTCTTGCTAAAACTACATGATTACAGATGGGTAAGCTTAATTTATAAGGAGGAATGCAAAGCGATCACAACTGTTTCCTTATATGAATAAGCCCGTCTATGATACTCTAATGCTAAATCCTGTTTTAGCATGCATTAATGTGTATTTTCGTGGTATAAGTGAGTTTTAGAGATTGCCAGGTGAGCTAGTACTGGTAGTTGAATTTCCCCACCATGATATACGTGGACATCATGCTTCCATTAAAGTTCGAATAGCTTTGCTTCCCAAAATTTTTTCTTATCCAGGGCTCACTTTAGTTTGCACCACGCCTAAATCTTATCCTCACCTATAGCGGGACTCGAACCCGGTTTGTGTCATATTAACCACTTCGCCACATTGCCCAATGTACCCCAAGTTTACAGGACAGAAGTGAATCCCAATGAAGCCTAGACCTTTCTAATATCCCATTTATATGTTGAAAGTAGCGATGAATCAAAGCTGTATTCGCTATGACAACAGAATATTTTAGTTATTTTTCGATTTTTAAGC